CAATCCTACTTTAAGACTTCTTGTCTTAAAGTTTTACAGTTCTCTGAAAGTCTGTTGATGTTTTCTCTTTTTCCACATTTTAACGAAATGCTAATTCACCTAACACTGAGTTGACATTAAAACATTTTATACTGAAAGATAAGTATATAAAAACCTACAGATAATTGAGGAAAGAACTTATCTAAAATGCTGTCTTTAGACTCTTTGTTTCAAGCTCTTTTGTAAAAAGACACACAAGGTGTTCCAGTTAAAAAAAAACATGAACATGAAATAATAATTTACATACCAAAGAACTATCTAAAAACCTGGCATACCAGCAAGTATACAGTGATACTTGAAATGGTTCAACTGGACGAAAAGAAGATTAAAAAAAGAAGTTTCAGGCCAAAAATAAGAAAGAACTAGTACAACATATTAATAAAAGGTGATCTCCTTAAGCCAACTCTTGTAACAGGACCAAGATCAAACCATTCGGTTTAATGCATCAGCTTTTTACAGAATCATCAGACATGGCCTCCATGGAATGGGTGGTTTGCAAAAAGTCATTTTTAAGGAAGTGAAACGGGAAGAAAAAGGTCACCGTGTACCGAATGACTGGAAACGCGTAATGGCGGGTTTTGTTGTCGTGAATCCTTCACCATGACCGAAGTGGTTCGGGGTCATTGTGGCAGAGAAATAACAAAAAAGGCAACCAGCATCTCCAGAAGAGCATCAAAGTGGCCTTTAAGAATCAGGGGAACTCTGGAGACCATTTGGAGAAATGACAATCACGTTTGTTAAAAAGAGAGTTCCCCTGAACAGACATTGTTTTGGGTATATTCATTCCAGCTTTGTTTATATATGAGCATGCTCAAATCAGAAACTGCACTTATTTGAATATTTAAGAAGGAATCCCACACAATATTGTACTCTCACATTAATTCCTTTGAGATCCGGATGCGCAAATTCTCCTCCGGCGTTTTTTTTATCCACTTCGGAAGACAATACAAACATGACAAGGAATTAATAAAGGTTTCTATGAAATGAAACTGGAGCAAGTGATGTGACTTCACATGTGTGCGGTGAGGGCTCCTTCACAGGATTGTTAACATCGCCTTCTAGCGGTCTGCAGCTGCGCACGCCTCCCCTCACAATCCCGTGCGCGCTCACACGTCATGTCAAGGAAAAATTCAATCTCGAGGGCAGATATGGAAATGAAAACCCACACCTTCTGAATCGCTCGCCCCTAAAGATAATAAAAAGTCAATGGACGGATGGGCACCGGTCGCATTCAGGATGGAAATATTGCGTCTTTTCCGCACTTTACGCGTTTGCGCATCGGGTTCGTGACTTAAAACCCATCCGTGCGGGTCTGCGCGCGCGTGTGAGGGAAAACCAGCGTCGGAAAGCAAACTTCTTGGTGAATCCCCCCCCCCCCTCTCTGGTTTACGCAAATGGTGTCCAATGGGCGCAACAGGTGCAGGCTTTAAAGGTAACTGCGCGTTAACAGCACGTTAACCAAACAAAGCGGGACATGGACTGTCATTTAGGCAAAAGAGAGACAAATCCAGTCCCCCGTCCAGCCCTTACGTAAGTGGATGATTCAGTAATGATCACAAAAACCTCTTTCCTTTTCCGATGCGTGAATGTGAAGTAGCACACAAAAGAGGTTCACACCCACTTTTCCCTCCCTTGGGATATTCCGTTTAACCCGTGACAAAATAAGACAGTTATGACTTAACCAGGGGGAATACCGACGGTTTGATTGGGATTTTTACTTATTATTCCTATCATTTTAACTGCATTTTCAAGCTTTCTGGAACCAAGTGCAAATGTGTACACTTTGTTCCAGCGAGTTTTCTAAATGGCATGCAATATATATCCCGTTATAGAAAGGGAAAAAAAGCCTGAATAAGGGGGGAAAGAAGTTTTTTTTTCGTGTGGGGTAAAGAGCTACAGGTTTTGACGGGTGCTCAGGTGGTTTCGCTTCTTTCCCTGCATCTCGGCATCAGTTCAGCCCTCAGGGAGAGAGAGCGATCCTCCTTGCTGCTGAAAAAAAAAAAGTCTGGCCGCCTGCCAAACTGTGCCGAACAAGTGCGCCTCCCTTCCCTGCTGTTTATTCCGAGTGGGGGGGTTTCAGTTGGGCTGTTTTAAAAAGGCAAGGCAGGTCCTCAAGTTGATCAGTCTGCTCAGGAACCCTTGTGCCGGAGAAAGTATACTGGAGTCCTAACTTGAAGGGGGCGAGAAGTTGAGATTTTACGCACAGCCTTGTTTTGATCCTGCAACGGGAATATTTCCGGGAAAACAAAATAGCACATGTCTTTTAAATTGGTCATTTAAAGAAAAGAAAAAAAATCTTTTTTTTTTTTTTTTTGCAGAGTGCAGGGGGAAAAAAGCCCGTCATTCATGTTTTCATAGATAGCAACACTCCTGGATAAAGACTCTTGGCTTTAACTGTAAAAATCGGATTATCTGACCGAGGCATTGTGCCCATTAGACCAGGGCTACTTTCCCCCCCCCCCCTCCTCCTCCTCCTCCTCCTCCTCCTCCTCCTCCTCCTCGCATTTGAGCTTTATGCTATAACTGAAGAGAGAAACGCCAACGATGTTTCTGAGCTTTTGCCTCTTGGTGACATTTATCTTGGGGCTGTCGGGGTGCTTGGGCTCGTACGTTCCGTGCGAGCCGTGCGACGAGAAGGCGCTCTCCATGTGCCCCCCGGTGCCGGTCGGGTGCCAGGTGGTCAAGGAGCCCGGCTGCGGCTGCTGCCTGACGTGCGCGCTGTCCGAGGGCGCGGCGTGCGGCGTGTACACGGGGACGTGCACCCAGGGCCTCCGGTGCCTGCCCCGGAGCGGGGAGGAGAAGCCCCTGCACGCGCTCCTCCACGGCAGGGGAGTGTGCACCAACGAGAAAGGATACAAGCCCGCGCCCTCACCCGTAGGTAAGAAACGCGCACGGGCTGGCGGACTGCGTGATGAACGGGGGGTTGGTGTGGTTACGAATGCGCACGTTCTTGGCTCTCCCCGCGATTCTGTGGCACATGGATGCTGTGTCTTTGGGGGATAAACTTAACCTAAATGTAAAAATGTGATTGCTCCATTGTTAGTGGGGGAAAAATCCATTTATTCCCCGGTCTTTGCGCTCCCTTTGGAGACCCTTTGGAGACCTATAGGCGGCTCCTTTCTCGACTATAAGAGACCCAGAGTAGCGCTCGTGTGCGCCTCCGTTGTGTTTGACAGATGGTTTGTGGTGCCATCTGATTAACTTCTATCCCGTTCCTCGACCAAAGTGCGCGCGGGAGCTTATTCCAGCTCTCTGCCCATACAGGGAACATGCACCTTGAGGATGGGAGACTCGGAACCGGAGCTCATTGGTACCTCATGGATATGAATTTAAGGGGAGGGGGAAAATCGAAGCAACGGTGGTTGCGAATCCTGCTCTGGTTGATTTGGGTGATTTGTTGAGCCTGTGTCGGTGGTGACAGTGGCTGACCAACTGCTGGTGGAAAAAAGATCCAGGCACTCAGCTCTCCAGAAATATGGGGGATTGCTGGGAGCCTGGATGTTTCAGACCACCGTCCCTTTTAGAAGTTTGGATCAACTGCACTATTAAACGAATCCTAATATTTTCAGGTGGTGAAACACTTTATAAAAAAAGGGTTTCCTCCACTTCTTGACAGCTTATTTTCTCTGAGGGATAAAAACAGGAAAGTGCAGCAGCACCTGATGTGAGCTTGTTCTCCAAATAGTCATTTTTTATATTAAATTATTATGTTAATGATTGAATATTTGATGTATTAAAGCTCACAATCTCCCCAAATGTGCTCCAGTTTTGGCTTTTTTTGGCGCCTGACCATCATTTGCACTTTGAAATGGGTCCAGAAAAAAGCCAGGTATAGTGGGATGCTGTACCTCTCTCTCTCTCCGAGGGTCATGTCGAAGCGTGACTTTGATCGATTCGGATCTGAATCCTGCCGCCCGGGCGGTGCTCAGAGTTGGTCTCGAGGGACCGGCCTCTGCTTGTGCGTGAGAGAGGAGATGAAGAGTGTGAAGAGGGAGAAGAGGAGCTGAAACAGCCCGTCTCGGGGGGTGATTTAAGACTCTCCGCCGTGCGGCAGGTTCCCTGTCACCCAGTTTTAGCAGCTTGTCAGCGTTTAGATTTGTAGCTGCTAACCACGAAAAGTTTTGGCTGACAAACGGCCGAGGGCTGATGGAGTCATGTGATCGAGCTCCCATCCCTTCCTTTGACACCTCGGACTCGATTCGGTCTCTCCACGATGGCTATTGTTCCAAAAATAACCTCGTTCTTTGCAAAGCATTGATCACTATCGGAGATGATGTAAAGTAAAGGGTAACCCCCCCACCTCCAGCCCCCTTCAGCCCCCCCGAACCCCCTCCTCCGATCAGGATTCTGTGTTTCAAGTTTCAGTCTGGGTGCCTGTTCTCCTGTGTGCATGGGCGGGGCTGTGTGTGTGTGTGTCTGGGTGTGCATTGTGTACGATTGTTGTTAGGGATGACACCTTAGGCAGTTTTGTTTCACTCCGGCCTCTCTCAAACACACACACACACACACACACACACACACACACAGACAGACAGACACACACACACAC